GCCAGGCTGGTGTTTTTCCAACTTTTATTTTAAAAGTCATAATTGAAGCTTAACAAAGTTTGACCCCATTATTGTTGTGAGAGCTGGGGGCACCCACGGTCCCTGCGGAGCCGTGCTCCAGCCCCGCGCCTGCCCTGGCCCCGCTGCCCCGGCAGCTCCCCCTTCGTGGGCTTGTCTGCACCTCTGCCGGGCTCAGCAACCACCGTGACCACAAGCAACCTTAAAAGAATGTTTGTTTATTGGGGAAGGGGGTTCCCACCGTGGGTGGCAGGGGGACGGGAGAGCAGGGCCTACGGCTGTGGGCCCAGGGAACCCCCACGTCCCCGCCCGCAGTACAGACATGCAGGTATTTATAAAACAAAGGCAGACGGGGGGACCGGGGCTGCGGGGGGGAGCTCCGCTCAGACAGCATCTTCCCTAGGGACAAATAAAAAAATACAGCCAGGCCAGAGGGTCACGGAAAACCGTCATCATCGTCCTCTGCCATCTCCTTTGCGAACTCCAGGTCCTGCTGCTCGCGCTCCCGGCGCTCCTGGAAGGCAAAGGCGGAGGTTGGTGGCAGCTGGGGAGAGAAGCCACGTCCTTCCTGTGGCTGCAGCACCCGCGGGGATGAGCTCTCACCTCTGCAGACTCCAAGTCCTTGTTGTAAGATTTGGGTGGGAACCTCATGGCCTGGAAAAAAGAAGCGAGAGGAGAAGCTCTGAGCTGAGAAATGCCTTGACTCGGCCCTGCTGTCCCCTTCAGCCGGGCCATGCCAGCCCCTCGCCGGGGACCTGTCATGCCCACCTTGACAGACATGTTGTGGATGTCGAGGCAGAAAGAGATGCGCTGGTGAAAGGCCAGCTGGGGCTCCCGGGTGGAGTAGATGTCGATCATTTCCTTCGACTGGACGTAGCCCTTCTCGTGGTTAATGCTGGCCTCGATCACACCGTCCCGGATGGCCTGCAAGCCGGAGGGCACGCGGTCAGGGCACCCGCTGTCTCCGAGGGCTGAGGCAGCAGTTTAGAGTGAAGGGAGGAGCTGGCTGCTGTGACAGGAGCGGTGGGCTCAGGACACAGTGCACAGGGAGGGTCTTGGTGCCCTGAGTGTCACCAGCAGCCCCAGGAGGGGCCTCAACTTAAAACCAGTAACTGCCCCAGGAAGGGAGCGCTGCAGGGACCGGGCAGAGGCAGCCTGGCAGGAGAGCGAGGCCAGCTGCGAGAACCAGGGGCTGTGGGCAGCCCAGGAGCCAGAGGGATGGGGCTTCACGTGCAGCTACCTTGGCAACAATGAACTCCGCATCCTCCGGACTGTCCAGCTGCAGCTTCTGGGCAATATCGGCCAGGGAGATGCGAGAATAGGAGAGGCTGATCATACGGACACCTGCAGGGGAGGAATCAGAGTGGAGCCGCCCAGGCCAGGCAGCCCCGGGCCGGCCAAGCCCGCAGGACTGGCCGTGACGGGGTCCCTGAACGCCACGGTGGCAGTCTCCTACCCGTCTTGATGACGTTGTGCCTCAGACGAATGATCAGGGTGTAGGTGCCATCGGCCTGGAACTTGTCCCCAAACTGATCAAGGACTTGGTTGAACTTGGCCAGGTTCCCGGTCCTGACGGCTGGAGGAGAGAACGTGTTAACTGGGGAAGGAGCACGAGCCGGGGCGCGGCAGGGGAGGCGAGGCAGGGCTGACTCCCAGGCCT